AACAACTGACAAAATAATACTACCTCCGGTCCTAATTATAAGGGCTAGTTAACTAATATGAAGAGATTAAGGAAATAAGTTAAGTTAGTTATTTGTAATAAATATGTGTTGTCTTTTCTAAAATATCCTTGCTAATCAAATATATTAAGTAGAATTACCATTGTTAGAAGAACTACCTTAAGAAAAAATACGTAAATATGAGAGACAAAATGGATTGGGGTCTTATATTTAGGACAAAAATAAAAGTCAAACAAGGTTTTATATTAAAGACCGGAGGTAGTAATAAGATCGAGCCGTATTTACATACATGGACAGGCTAAAACTAATAAAAGGAAATGATTTTATATTTCTTATTTTTCTTTATGCATCATCAATATTTCATTTATTTTTACTTATATTTTTGGGCTCAATGTTCAGGCTTTTTCCTAGGCCTCAATATTAATTTAAATACATTTTTCGGAGGATTTAAATAAATTTAATGAAGAAAAATGGTATATGTTGCAGGAGGCCTATGCAATTTGAAGAATCTTATATTATTGGATCTTTCCTCCATTGAATTTAAGGGGCAACTCCCTTCCTTAGTACGTTTTATCTTCCTCACTCTTTCATACTTTGAGGTCTCTAACAGCAATTTTTCTTACCGACGAAAACTTCAATGGCTCATTTTCACTCTCTTTGCTCGCCGACCACTCCAACCTTAAAATGTTTTTCATTTCATGCTCTAACGCCAACCTCAAGCTTGAAACCTAGAATCCCCTATTTATCCCCTCTTTCCAGTTGAGGTCTTTCACAACCCGCAACTGCACTCTAAATGAAGCCAACAATAAAACAATGCCTACCTTTCTTCTTTTAGTAGTTCATAAGATTTTGATCATGTAACAGACGATCACAATAACCAAAAGATTGTCAGTTTGGTGTGGAAAGATTTTGAGCCAAGTTTCATACAGAGATGTCGAAACTGACATCATCAATTATCAAAGTGGAAAGAGTTTCCATGGGACTGTGGTTTTGATCCCTCTCTCGTCTTGTCTGTATCTTTGGCTATCATTTCAAATTCTCCAGTTTTTCCACATTCACAGTTATAATTCTCATATTACTTGCTAATTAAACCCACCATATATATTAACAGCTTAAACAGCATAGTATTTCTTCGCAATCTATGAAAGAGAACGGGAAAGCATCTCCACGTTCCCTCCCTGAAATTTCAGTAACAGACTAAAAGCTGCTTGATGTATTACTTTTTTAATTATTTCAGAAACTCATTTTGTAAAATATCTATTTTATCCTTCATAACTCTTGGGATCACTGATTATACATTGACTAGCCATTATTCGCCTCTGTGTTTGGTTGTGACTAATGGCTTGTGGTTATAAGTGAGATTAAACTCGTGACTTTCTACTTATATGAGCACTTTTATAGCACTAGACTGTACAGCCATTAACTCCATGCAATAATTTTGAATAGTTGTGACATAACTGATAAGAAAGTGAGAGGTTGGTCCAGTCGTGTGCTTTATTTGGGGCAAGGAATCTTCACCTTTTCCTTATCTTCCACACTAAACGACTTTAAGTCAGCGTCAGGTACGCGGTGGAGCATTCTGAGAGAATACTTTCCGGATTGGGAGAATTAGCTGCTAACAACCTTAAAGCCAATTTATAAAACAAAACTTAAGTTTCCTTTAGTTATTAAATAGAGAGACAAAGTGAATTAGAATCTCATCAATTAGCTCTTATATTTAGAACCGGAGGTAGTATATTGCAGAAATCACATCAGCAACTTTATCTGTATTTTTTGTTATAATCACGGCCCATTCAACAGGAAACTACGTCATTTGTTAACCATACGGCCGATACAACAAAGGAGAAATGATTATCGGTTTGCATGAGGTTCTTGCTGTTTATACTACGGTTTTGTTGTATCTTTTCTGCTATAATTGCGCTCTGTCGCGACATTGTTTGAATAGTCCATCAGATATCAGGTTTCTAGTTGATCAGATTTGTTTCCATGTGTCATGGATTCTATAATTAGGACGGGAGGTAGTATATTTTTTCTGAAGTTTTATTGTTCGTGTTATTCTTGGTAGATAGGAGTCTTTGGCTAATCAAGTTCAAACCGGAAAATTCAGTTTAGATTAATTCTATAAGTTTTTATCCTAATAATTAGCCCTAACTGAGTGCCTAGGAGTCAATTTTAGTGCTAAACACAGATAAACGTATAGAAATAAACTTCAGAGTTTAGACGTATAGATTACTTTCTGCACAACAATCTCAGTCTACCGTATTTAGTCTGGCTTTCCAAACTCTCTTTGATGGAGCATAGTTTGTTTGATAAGAATATATATATATTATATATATATTTATATAAAGCTCATTTGTGTGGTGAATATTGTTAGCAACTATCAGGATCAATCATAAGTCGTCGAGAGGTTACGTCAAGCCCAATCGTGTATTTTGGGGGTAGCGAATCTTTCATCTTTTTCTAATCTCTCTAATTAAACGACTCCAATTCTGTGTCGGTATATCATGGTTTTGTTATATCTTTTCTGCTATAATTGCGATCCGTCCCGACATTGTTTGAATAGTCCATCAGATGTCAGATTTCTAGTCACACCCAGAACAGAGGATTGATGAGTCTGTGATTTATTATTGTCCGTGTGAAAATCTTTTTATAAATACATAATAATTTAATTCTTTTCACTGGCCAATGGCTAGATTACACCACCCCCCCCCCAACTTTTTGACTGTGACTCGGTCGTCACGCGTCTTGCATGGTTGTTAGCTTTATTGGTTGCTGGCCACCGACCATATGCTGTGTTTTTTTAATCCTCAGTCTGAGTCATTTCTCCACAAATGAGTCAACTCGTGTACTGTTTTGGAACTCAAAGAGCAATAATTGAGTCTCCTTCCGGCCTATATATATGGATAGAGAGGACGTAATGGAAGACATATAGGCAAACAGGGAAGCTAATTAAGCATACTCAAAAATGGGGTATCATTCAGTGAGATCAGAAGACGTGTGGTGCGTGATGGCCATAATCATGTTCATATTCTTGGGGTTTAGTGGAGAAAGTGAGGGGTGCTTGAAAGAAGAGAAAGAAGCTCTTCTGAAATTGAAAGAAGCTTTCAATTATCCAAATGGCTCTTCTCTTCCTTCTTGGAATAACCAAACCTTCTCTGCAGATTGCTGCACTTGGGAGGCTGTGAAGTGTGACAACTCCAGTCATAGAGTCATAAGCCTTCATCTGAAAAATACAAGACCTTATGAGTTGAGACACATCAAATGGTCACTCAATGCTTCTTCTTTTCTCCCCTTCATCCAGCTTCAAGCGTTGCGTTTGGATGGGAATTACTTGTCAGGTCACCCTCTTTCTTTTAACTATTCTATCATTCATGCATACATATAATATATACACACAGTACATAGACATACATTGTTAATTAAGACCGACATTTTTATAAGCATTTCGAACTGTGATTTTTGAAGATGTAAAAGCACATCAGTTACGGTAAAAAATTAGTTAATAATGATTATGATCATATCATTCATTGCCTTTTATCTCGTTCTTTTTCGTCGGTTTCCTCTTTTAGGCCACTGATTTGCCAGGGTAAGAGTCCATTCTAGTTCTAGCTAAATATTTGTGGATAATTCTGATTGGAATAATGAAACTTTCCGTCCCTCAAATTTGCTTCACTATTGATTTGGTCCATGAAATTTAATTAATTGTTATAAATCAAGTCCCTAAAGTTTCGTAATCATACAAAATTAGTCATTATGGTTTGAAGATATATAATCCTAAACGCACATGTGCTATCACTAACCATTAATTCGAGGATGATAACCCTCACTTTGCTTTATTTATGAAATTTGAACCAATTTTTATATTTTCTCCCAATAATTATATGTTATATCACTTCATTTATTCTCTCTCATACTTATCTTTTTTTACTCAATTTCTCTCTCATTCACCATTTTTATTATTTTGGGGAAAAAACATTTTTACATATTTATTGCCTTTAAGCAATTTCAACAAACTATATAATCTACATAATTTAATCATTTATATCTTAATTATAGATAGCAACAGAGGGAGTAAAATTGCGTATGAAACTTTAAGAACTTGATTGATAAAAATTAAACTTCACAAACCAAATTGATAACGGAGACAAATTAAATTTGAGTACCAAAAGTTTTATTACTCATTTTTTTTTAAAAAATATAATCAAGTAAGATATTTTAGAAAATGTTTGAGATACTAAACGTCTTGATTCGTGTTGTAAATATTTTTTAAAAAATAAATTAGAGGCAAGATGTTTTCTTGGATATATAGAGGGGCCCAAAACAAGCTTAATAAAAACTACATTATCAAACTTTCACTTCATGTTAAATTATGAAGAGGATGATGATATTAATTATATGAATTATTTTTTATAATTCTTTATACCCACTAACATTCATAGTAACTGATCACATGTTGTTTGTGGAGCAGGGCTGCTTGGCGATATCAGGCTGGTGAACTTGGAATTGTTGAACTTACAATTCAATATGTTGAGAGAATTCCCATATTTCGGTGCTAAATCTTTGTCTTCTATATTATAGTATATTTTGAGGGACATATGTAGTTACTGAAACGTGCATCAAATTAAAGCATATCTATTTTTAGAAAAAAGATTACCGGGCCATCATTTTAAGAAAAATGCTAAAAGGAATATATAGACAACGTTTTCTCCATTAAATATATGAAAGTTTCGATTTTTTTTTCTTGATTTTGTTGGGAAGTCGAATTATTTACCTTTGCCACATAATCATCTCAACTGAACAATTTATATGCCTTTATTTAATTGAGAGAATTGAATGAAATGTCAAAAGTAAGAGATAAGATGACGTTTTCTTACTTAGCAGATTCATTATCAATAAATTTTAACAACACTCACACACAAACACACAAATTAATTTGAAGGAGTTGTGGCTTAACGCACACATGTCCATTTGGCATTTGACAGACCTTTCTCATTCACGTAATCTGAAGGAGCTGTGGCTTGATGCTAATTACTTGGAGGGCAGTATTCCAGAATCTATTACGTCTCTTACTTCCCTCACCACATTGACATTAGACAATAACAACCTGACTGGATCATTGCCACAAGAAGGTATGCATCATATTTTATACATCAAATTTGTTGATAACAAATTTTTATTTTAATTAAACAGTCAAATTTTCCTTGTTCCTGCAAATTGAGTCGACTGTTCAATGAAATCGATTTCCAATCCATCTCCTAACTGGCATGCGGCAATAGTTTAAAATAATGTAGTCAAAACAAATAATAGTTGACATAATAATAGTAATAATGATAATAATAAGAAGAAGAAGATGGAACTGTATTTACACACATGGACAGGCTAAAACTAGTAAAAGGAAATGGCTTAATAATTTATTTTCACTTATATTTTTGGGCTCAATATTGAGGTTTTTCCTGGGGCCCAACTTCTTAATTTAGCCCACGTAAACCCTTTTTGGAAAAATATAGTATAATTTCATATCGGTTTGGATAAGAAGAAAAGTTGAAAGGAGAAAAAATAGAGAGAAAGAAAAATTAGGAAGAAAATATTATCATTCCTCTTACTTGGATAGATGAGAGAAAATAGAGAGGAAAGAAAAACTAAAATATCCTTATCAAAATATATCATATTTAAAATTGAACCAAATTAAATATTGCAGTAGAAAAATTATACTAATATTAGCATCATCAAATCATTTAAAATCAAATTATTTGGTTTATATATTTTCAAATTATTATATTTTAAAACCAACTTATTTAATAAAAATATTATTTTGAGATACAAAATAAAAAGCGAATCCTTTTTTAAATATAATAAAAGAAAATAAATATAGAGAGGGAGAACTAAAGAAGAAGGAAGGTAGTCACGTAAATCTTGTTTTTCTTCCCAAATCTCTCCAGATATGGAGAGAAAATGAGACATAGGGCTTACCTCATTTTTCCCCCCCACTTTTTCTTCCTTTTTCTTCCTCTCATATTTTCTCTCCTACCAACTTGGACAAAACTCATTTCTCCTCCCATTTTTCTTTCTAGTTTTCTTTTCTTCATAATTTTCTCTCAATCTAAGTAGGAGGTTAAGCTATTACTTCTAGTTGTATAAATTTTTTAATTAATGGACTAATTAAATAATTTTAATGAATAAAAATGGTATGTTGCAGGAGGCTTGTGCAATCTGAAGAATCTTTCCCTATTGAATCTTGCCGTCAATGAATTTGAGGGGCAACTTCCTGCATGCCTCGGCAATTTGACGTCTCTACGTACGCTTTATCTTAATAAAAATCGTTTTGAAGGAACATTTCCTTCCTCACTTTTTCATGCTCTGAGGTCCCTAACAGCAATTTTTCTTTCTGATGACAATTTTAGTGGTTCCTTTTCACTCTCTTCACTTGCCAACCAGTCCAACCTTAAAGTCTTTAGCATCTCTTGCTCTAACGCCCATCTAAAGCTTGAAACTGAGAATCCCCCATTTATTCCTTCCTTCCAGTTGAGGCTTTTTAGAATCCACAAATGCTCTCTAAATGAAGCGAACAATAAGACAATGCCTACCTTTCTTCTTCATCAATATGACTTGCTGGCTCTAGAACTTAGCCACTTGAACATTTCTGGGACCTTCCCGTCATGGCTTTTGACAAACAACACGAGATTAAGTTATTTCAATCTGACGCACAACTTGTTCACTACTCCCTTTAAACTCAATCCTGCCTCAAAACTGCTTCAAATGGAGTCCTTTGATATTTCCTCTAACCCCATCAGAGATGAAATGCCATCTCATATTGGATACATTTTTCCCAACTTGATTTCTCTTAATATGTCATCAACTTCATTGCGAGGTTATTTTCCAGCTTCAATAGGTGAAATGAGACAATTGAATGATCTTGACTTGTCAAATAATAATTTATTTGGCTCTTTGCCTCAAGAATTTGGTCAAGGGAACAATGAATTGAGATTTTTGAAGTTGTCAAACAACAACCTGAGTGGCTCATGTCTTCCCATAGGATCAAATTTCACACATTTGTTGTCTCTTGATCTCAACAACAATAACTTCAAAGGAAAATTTCAAGGTGGCTTCATGAACAGTACTGGATTGATAATGTTGGATTTAAGTGCCAATCAACTATTTCGTGAAATACCTAGCTGGATTGGAAAATTTCAAGATTTGAGTTACCTCATTTTGTCACAGAATTCTTTAACAGGTTCACTTCCAGAAAGCTTTTGCAACTTGACCAAACTTTCATATTTAGACCTTTCTCACAATACATTAAGTGGTTCTTTGCCAAGTTGCCTGAACATGCCGTTGTTGATGTATCTACATTTGCAGGGCAATCATCTCATGGGATCTCTACCTTCTACTTTGGCTAATTCTTCCTCATTGTTGACTTTCGATTTGATGCATAACAAATTTTCAGGTCGAATTCCAAGATGGATTAGCTCATTCTCTAGTTTAAGGGTCCTCATGTTAAAAGAAAACAAACTTGAAGGCTCTATTCCGACACATTTATGTGAGCTCAAGAATATTAGATTGTTAGATCTTTCTCAAAATAAGCTTTCTGGAGGCATACCATATTGCTTGAATAACATCGGATTTGGAAACATGGATGCAGCAAGTGAAATCGAAATAGGAAGTTTTATTGTGTCCTGGACTACAAGATCGTCTCTTTACCGTTTTGGCAGTATTACCGGTAAAGTTTTTGTACTAAAAGAAAAACAAAATGTTACATTGTGTAAAGTGCAAGAAGTAGATTTTACAACAAAAAGCAGGTATGAATCTTACAAGGGAAGCATTTTAAATTTCATGTCTGGGTTGGATCTCTCTAGCAATCAATTGAGAGGTAAAATTCCTTCAAACCTTGGATACTTAAGCACTGTCCATGCATTAAATTTGTCAAACAATCAATTGGAAGGGCCTATTCCAGAAACGTTTTCCAGCCTCAAGCAGATAGAAAGCCTTGATCTTTCACACAACAAATTGACAAGCCGCATTCCTGCACAACTAACTCAGTTGTACTTCTTGTCTTTCTTCTCAGTTGCTCATAATAATCTATCTGGAATGACACCTGATATGAAAAATCAATTTGCAACTTTTGGCTCAGCCAGTTATGAAGGGAACCTTTTTCTATGCGGTCCCCCTTTGCCGCAAAATTGCTCAATAGGAGGGAGAAACAGGCAACCTCATCATTTGGATACAGATGATTTTCGAGATGCTTTCTTATGGAGTTTTGTTGGAGCATTTGGGGTCTTTTTTATAAGTGTCATTATAGTTATTTATTTGAATCCTTACATTTTCAATTACAAACTACTTGTATTAGAGAGAGTTATAACAAGTTATTTGTATGAGTGATGGCAAAAAGGAAAAAGGCTTTACTTAGAGTTCATAAGATTTTGATCATGTAATCGATGGCCTGCTGATCTTTTCTAGAATTACAATAACCAAAAGATTGCTGGTTTCAAGTCTTCTCAGGATCAGAAAGGAAACTTAATTGAAATATTCGAATCATTACTTCTCATGTGTGTGTACAGCTTAGCAATCTCTTTCTCAAAATCCTTCATTGTCATCTCTGTTTCGTCTCTGTCTCTTTGTTCCTATTGTTCATAAGATGATCAACCTAACCTCATCAATATTTTTTAACCATGAATTGCTACCATCCAGAAGAACCTCCTGCTATTTTTACTGTTATACATATATCACAGGCGATTTGTGATCAAAATACTGTGTCGGCAAATGCAGTTTAAGTGATGATTCCTTCAAGCTTCTTCACAGTTTGCCCTGTATCTGACCATTAACTATAATTATTATTGTATATGTCTCTGTAGCTGCATGAGATTAACAATACTAATCAGTGGTGTTATGCTTACCGGTGGTTTCATATTCACCACCAATGGGGTATCCCTCCAGTGATGCTTCTTCTGGGAGGGACGGTGAGATCACAAGTCATCATCAAAATCTCTCTCTTTTTAACTTGCTTTTATGAACTCTTATTGCTTTCTTAATTTCTCTTGCGATCAGTTCCTAATACGTGCATTGTTCTGTCTCGTTTTTTGCTTTTCTCAATTGCAGTTGTGCAACTCTGTGCTGCTTTTTTTTTTTTTTTGGGATTATTGCTATGTTGAGTCCCACAATATTAATTAGTGATGCAAAAGTAACAAAAAATTCGATGCGAAGTATTATGTTTACTGCCATAGGATACAATTGGTTAGCTGATATTTCAAAATCTAATGTTGGTTCATTCCAACTATACAAACAAATTCCAAGAACTTTTATTGATGAAGAATGGATTATTTCATCTCAATTCCGTGGTTACAAAATGAATTTGTAACGAAACACTTGGATGTAAAAGTACTTTCATAGAAGTTTCTTTTTTTTGAAACAGAGAGCAGTATTTTTGGTCAAAAAAAAAAACAGAAAGCAGTACTTTGCGTGTGCATTTAGTGAGGACGTGTCAGTTTTATCGCCTGTGCACAACTAACTACAATTGATTGTACTACCTCCGGTGTACAATATAAGAACTAGTTTAATTTTTAATTTGATTCTCAATATAAGAGCACAATCTATTTTGTCTCTTATATTTATTCATTTTTTTCAAAATAATCCTTGTAATAGTTACACATGTTAAATATTCTATTAAATGGTAGTTCTAGTAATACACATAATTAGTAAGAGTATTTTAAGGAAGATGATACCTATTTATTTCAAATAACTAATTTAACAAACTTTCTTAATTTACTCAAATTAGTTAACTAGCTCTTATATTAAGGACTGGAGGTAGTATATAGTTAGGTGTTTTATCTGTCTAAAAATTTTTAATTAGTGGGAACAAAGGATTTTTGAAGTTTAAAATTATGAAAAACATCAACCTGCTCCACCACAGAATCATCAGGATTCAGTATAGGTTAATTCAATTAACATATATACCTTGTTCTTGTCTAAAAAGGTTGTGAATGTTGATTAAACAAATCGATCATAAATATGTCAATTACCCTGAGCAGAGGAATCCCATATAACATCATCAATACATGTTACAGCTATATTTCTAACTTTATGATGAAACTATCTCACTGCTTGGCCAAACACCACCTAAAACTGATAGTTTCTAAACAAGTGCATACGCGATTTATTATGTCAGGCTTAAATCTGATCCTTTTCTGTTGTTTCTTTCTTTCTCGGTTTTCTGCAAATTCTCTTTAGAACCTCAAATTCTTCGTTCATCCTTGTGGGAGCCATCGTTTGTTTATTCTTTTCTCTCCGTTGAGACTATATAATTACACTATAAAGTAGATCTTATATTTAGGCAGAAGGTAGTATATAATTACCCCTTTCTCTTTTCTCTTTCTTTCTCAGTCTCGTGCATAACCCGCAACAGATACTATGAGTCAACTCAACCAAGTTTCTGGTTTTTGTAGAATTATATCATTCAACATGTTTTAGTTGCGGCGCAACAATCTCAATCTACATGATGGAGCATAGTTTGTTTGATTCTGCAGAAACGTCAAAAGCACAGGCAGTGACTTTAAATGGTTATGATTAGAATATAAAACTTACTGTGTGGTGATTGGTGAACATTGTTAGCAACTGTCATGATCAATCACAAATTGAGAGGTCACGTACTTTAAGCCCAATCATGTATTATGGGGCAACGAATCTTCATCTTTTTCTCACCTTTCACATCATGCTAAAAACGTTGAAGCTCATTTATAAAACAAAACTCAAGTTTTTTTTGACATAAGAAACGACATGTATGGGATATCATATATACTTCACATCCTCTTATCTCATCATCAGCAACTTTATCATTTATGTTTTATTATAATCATGACTCGTTCAACACACAAGCTTTGACAAAATAGACAATTACTAAAGGATGGCACATAAATTCTGTGCACGCAATGCCAGGAACTGAACTTAGCTTATTGAAGCGGATTTTTGAACTATATATGCCTCATGCCTACAATTTCTGAGAAATTGACTGCGTACCCAATAGAGCTTAGGTTCTAATGATCTTCAGCTACATTTGGTTGTGCTGTATACCATGGTTTTGTTAAATGTTTTCTGGTAAAATTGCACTTTCTCCCAGATTTGTTTGAATAATACATCAGATGTCAGATTTATAATAGATCAGAGCTGTCTTTATGTGTCATTGATTCTAATCACACCCAGAACAGAGGATAGATAAGTCTCTGAGTTCTTATTTTTTAACTTTTTAATGAAATTTATTTCATAAATACCTATTAAATTTATTCTTACATGACTTCTGGGGATCACCGGCCATTGACTATATTTCTCCCCTGTTTGTTTGGTTGTGACTCAGTTTTCAAGTCTTGGTTGGCTTTACTGAGACAATCGTGATGTGTTTATTAATTTGCCCTAGTTGTTACGCTTTTCTCAGTCTGAGTCATTTCTGCTGCACAAATAAGTCAACTTGTGTTTTGAAACACCGTGGGCAGCTAGAGTCTTCTTGCCGTATATATATATAGATAGAGAGGACGTAAAGGAAGACATACGCAAACAGGGAAGCATATACTGAAAAATGGGGTATTCAGTGAGAGAAGATGTGTCGTGGGTTTAATGGAGAAAGTGAGGAGTGCTTGAAAGAAGAGAGAGAAGCTCTTATGAAATTGAAAGAGGCATTTAATTACCCAAATAGGTCTTCTCTTCCTTCTTGGAATAACCTTACCTTCTCTGATTGCTGCACCTGGGGGGCTATAAAGTGTGACAACTCTACTAAGAGAGTCATAAGCTTTCATCTAAGCAATACAAGACCCTCTGAGCAGAGACACATCAAATGGTCACTCAATGCCTCTTCTTTTCTCCCTTTCCACCCCCTTGAACAGTTGTATTTGGATGGGAATTACTTGTCATGTCGCCCTCTTTCTTTTAACTATTTTATCTATAGAGACACGCATTGTTAATTAAGACTAATATTTTTACCAGCGTTTCAAACAGATATTTTAATCACAAAACATAATTTAACGATATTAGTTACAATAATTCATGTATTAATAAAAAAATGAGGTCAAAAAATTATGATCGTATCATTGTTTGGCATACCGTACTTTTTCATTCCTTCTTATCTGCTATAACGTAAAACCATTCTGACTAAATACTTGTGGATAGTTTTTGATTGGTATAATGATAATTTTGATTCTCAAGTTTGTTTCAGTTATCGATTTGGTCTTTTAAAGTTTACTCAAGTTCCTAATGTTTCATAACTTTTTGTAATTAGTCTTTATAATTTGAAGATATATAATCCTAAACACATATGTGATGTAACCATTAACTCACGGATGATAACCTCTTCACGGAATGTAGAAAAAATTATTGGTCTGATGAAATCAAGTAAAAATATGAAGTTGTGTACGTATGAAGAGAATATTGATGATGTTAATTATACATATGATTTTTTTTTTATAATTCTTTTTACACAGTAACATGTTCATAGTAAATGAGCACATGTTGTTTGTGGAGCAGGGCTGTTTGGTGATATTAGGCTGGCCAACTTGGAAGACTTGGATTTAGAAGATAATAAGCTCACAAAAGTCCCATCATTCGGTGCAAAATCTCTATCTTCTAGATTCTTTTAAATGTCATATGTTAATTGCTGAATCGAGCATAGAAAGTTTATCTACTTTTAGGCAACTTTTCTCAAGTACATTCACGAAAGTTTCTATTTTTAATTGCTTGGCTTTGTTCCGAAGTCAATTGATATCATATTTACTAATTTACTCATCCACATATTTGCCGTCATATAATCATCTCAAGTTCTCAACCGATGAATTTACGTATCTTTATTTAGAGAATCGAACGGTTAGTCAAACTTTAGAGATTCTTGAGAATATTGAGAGGTGAATGAGATGACGATTTTCTTATGGACACATGACTAAACATGCAAGGAGAGAATTCTATAAGCAGACTTTGAGGAGATTAGAGTAAAGGATGAATAAATAAAGATTGACATCTTGCTAATTAAGTATATTGGCTGAACTATATTAAGGATATCTTGGAAATGCTATGAGAGACAAATGGATTAATAATAGGACCACAATAAATATTGAAATAATGGCCAATAAATTTGACAATTATAAAGACTAAGAAATAGCAGAACAATTCATTAAAACATTTTATTAGATTAATGATCCATCCAAATAGCTTCTTCAACATGCCATGATGTGTGTCTATATATATTGTTAGAAACTTGCTCAATGAACATTTCCATTTGGCATTTGACATATCTTTCTCATTCACTTAATTTAAGTCTCTGGTGCGTGCTTTAGATAACTTGGAGGGTAGTCTTCCAGAACAATCTATTATGTCTCTTGGTTCCCTCACCCACTTGTCAATAGGCTTTAAAAACCTGACTGGATCACTGCCACAACA